TTTTAAAAAGAATTTAATTCAAAATTTTCACAACTAAAATAATTCACGTTTTGGCCTGGGTCGAGATGTTTTTGAAATTTACAGGATTTTTTTTAATGAAACTTGTTTGTTGGTTAACTTAATTGAAAATTTCAATTAGTCACGTTTCACCATATGGCATGAGAAACACTGCCGGGAGCAAGTGTTCATGCTATAACCAGCACTACTTTCACGATGACCAAGATATGCTAGATAAAGTTAATGAAATTTTTGAATGTTTTCTGTCATTTCCACCGTAAGGTAAGTAGAACCACGTGAAGCGGTAGTAAATGCATCGCAGCAGGTAATGAAATGTCTGCTTTGCTTCTGTAGTCAGTTGTAAAAATCATTTCTGTTCTATTCCCTCCTTTCAGTAATAGTGCTGTCACAGATGCATAATTTTGTGTTTTCATTGCTACCGACATTATTCTTAATTGCGTTCCTGATTGATTTGAATATTAATTGGTTGCTGCGAGACTGTATGAATTTGGTGCCGACTGCCATGGCATATGTGAACACGTTGAAACAACTCCTATCAGCACCACGACCATCATGAACAGTCTTATCATATTGTACCATTGCTGCCTCTGTCGGCTGGCCCTCAACCTGTCTCTCATTAGCGGCATAAGTGCATTAAAATGTGCTCTGCTTCAGCGTAAACTAGTCAAGACCGAAATGTGGCCTTTCTTTTTGCTTAGGTGATGATCGAACTAACAGAAAGCGTTATAGCATTTGTTGGAATTCGCACCTTCACTGTTAAGGCAGTACCTATTCACCCAGTGGTTAAATATGCTCATCCAAAACCGAACAAACTTTGACTCTCGGGGAAAGTTGCAGAACTTTAACAAGCGCATATTTATGTGATTATATACGTGCCAAGAAAAATTGACAGGGCGATGTGACTCTCGAGAATTACAAACTTTATTCCGCTAGACACTCGGTAGTCGAAGAGTACGCTGAGACGATCCGTTGGTAAAGTTACTTCGCCAGCGTTGGAAGCGGAATGCGGAGAATAGAGAACACTGAATGATACTGTATATGTCCATATACTGGCATCAGAAATTGTTCGTGAGCTGGACTATCTCAAATAACGAATGACTCGTTCAAAACCGTGTTTCACGGCATATTGCACCTCCATATTTCACCTACTTGCATCGGCATAGGGGGCATTTACGGCGCAGTACGGCATGAAACCTTGTTTTATGGAGCATTTCGTTATATATTAAATTTTAAGCAAAATTCCCGTAAAACGAAACCACTTCTGTGTCAGATAATATGAGAGAATGCAAATATAATATATCAATAATATATATTAGCAGGCATGGCTGGGAGGTTAAATTAAGATTTCTATCTATTTCGCAATTCTTCCACTACATCGAGCGCCGCTGCGAAGTCTGTAAGAAGGAAGAATACAGTAGTATGTGGCGCATGCAAAAACTGAGGATAATTCACTTCCCTCAGTCTCCCAGTTGTGTTTGTATTTGTTGCGATTATCACCTTTAGTCGTTTATGCGAGCGAAAGTTTCTGGCATGTGATATCAGCTGCGTTCTCACTTTTTCTTCTAGTGTACTCATAAATGTACCTCTAAGTTTATGATTATTATACATCCAATATCCAAAGATTGGATTAAGTGTAGGTACTGTAAAATGTTCATGCTAATTTTGTAATCGCATGAGAAACCTTTGAATAATTTTTTTTCAGAGGGGAAGCCAGTAAGAATTTTTACCAAAATGGGAATTTTCACATTTGTGCACATCTTCCATAGAACGAATGAATTCGTAAATTGAGGGATGGCTGTAGTTTACAGTTAATTCGCGGTGCAAGCGCGGAGAAGTGACGGCGACATTTTCATTACCTTCACAAATAACCCTTATGTAAAAACGTGCAATGGCTAATTAGCTAATTTCGAAGTACCTGGTGAAGTTTGGGCTGGCGGCCACGTTGCAAAGTCGGATAGAACGGCATGGCGTCGGGGTAATTTTCTCAACGGATGGGAGGGTTGTACTGCAGGGCTGTTTAGCCTCTGCCTCCGGCGTCCAGCTCCTCGCACTAATGAGAAATAAAGAATGGGGGAGGTGTGAAGTGAGTGTCAGCTAGTCGCTGGTCCTCGCTCGATCGATGTGCATGGCGACGGCTTTCATTTTGATCAATGCGTATTTGTGAACGACTGACTGCCATGATTCAATTATGGCTCGCATTGTGTGTGATCAGACGTGTCCAACTTTTTTTGGTTTTTGATCTATTCCACTGCCACATCGTCTGTTCGTCAGGCACGCAAGAGGCTGACGTTTTTTGAAAT